AAGGAAGGAACCCTTGTCCTTCCAGTAAAAGGTGGATCTGTAATTGTTCAGATTTCACTTTTAATGAGAGCTTATCACTGGCTTATCTCATTCTTCCTACTGGCATTTCTGTGTCACATCACCAGCCTTGAACTACCACATTAATTGAAGGACAAATGTAACTAATTGCTATAAAAAAATGTTTTATTTTACTGTTTTCTTTAGAGGAATATAAACCCAAATTTCCATTGTATATTTAATAACTAAAGAAATATCATAGCATTATGATTCCTAACAGCTTTGTGTCTCCTATCTGACTAATGTCTGCCTACACAGGCCTCTGAACAAAGTTTGTTATAAACTGTGTATTTACAATAAATGGACTTCAATATAAAATATGAAAGGATAAGGAGAATCTATAAAGGCAAAAATGTTAAGTTCTGGAGAATGAGTTTTCCCAATGACAATTGCGGAGCTCCTGTCACAGCTGTAAGAATTGGTGTATATTAAGTCTTACAATTTTTTTCATTAATAGGAAATTCCTGATCTGATGTACCATTTTCTAGCTTCTCTACCTAACTTCCATGGTTATCAACACAGTCACACTGCCACTTATACTCTAAGAGTTTTCATAAGGAGAAAGGAGTTAAAGGATTTTAATTAATTAATCAAAATTTATTTAATTTTATTAATTAATAAAATTGATTATTATATTAATAATTAATAAGAAAGTTAGGTAGGTTCTCTTCACCAGAGAGAAGAAATAAGAGGGCAAGGGGGGGAAGAGAGGGGAAAAAAAAGTGAAAAAAGCGGCAGAGAGACAGAGAGACATAGCTGCAGAAAGGAAAGACAAAGAAAGAAGAAAATGATTGCCCTTCTTTTGCTTTTAGGCAGCTGTTTTGGATGATGTGGTAATCTTCATCAGTCTTTCGAAAGACTTTATGCTCCTTTTTGGCTACTTGGAGCTATCGAGCACAGTTGATGGGTGACAGCAGACGTAGGTGAAAGCTAACAGGGAAGAGTTGGCAGGTAACAGCTAACTTGTGACAAACAATTTTCTGAGGAGCTATAACTTACAAAATAGAGTTGCACTTTGCTTTTGTACTAATGCATCATTTGATTTGTCTCCGAGCTGCATTGGTAGAACTGCCTCTACCAAACCGTTTCCAGTGCAGAAGCATTAGCCCTTTGTAATTCCTATGTGATCGTTAAAAACTGAAATCTTCTTCTTGCACAGGGTTATGCAGGTCCTTCATGTTCCTAAGCCTGAAAAATATTCCTGTAGAATGAAAATCATCCTTTTTCATGAAAACTTTCTGCTTGAAGCCACTTTCTTGCTATCATTATGTAGGGATGAGCATACCTAGCAGCTACAGCAAAAGCTTGTGAATCAGGCTCCTTGGGTCTAGTTCTTGCTCTGCTTTGAGTCATGTTGCTTGTGCTCCTCACAGAACTATGCTGTGATGCATAACTTGCTCAACTCCCTGATAGGGAAGCAGGAGGCTTTGATGAGGTCCTGATGAGTGCTGACTGCAGTGAGACCCTCTGATAAAAGGATCTGTAGAAACTCAGAGCTATGGCAGTATGAAAATGAAAATGACCTGTTTAGGAACAGAGTCTCACTGTGAGAGAAACAGAAATCTAGCACTACCTCTTTTTTTTTTGAGTTTTCCAGGTCATGATTGTTTGCTTCCTTGCACTATTTCTAGAAGATGAACCTCCTTCTTTTCCAATCTTGTCAGGAGATAAGGCAAACTTGCTTTGAGATAAGAAGCACTTAAAAAACCTAAAAGTAGCTGAACTTTTCCTGTGCACTTTAAGGGTATGTCTTTACCAAAGCTAACCAACCTGACACAGCCATATGGTGGGAAACTAAGTGTGTATTATCTTGAAACTCTCCCTCTTATATACTCAATTTAGAACACAATTTCTTGGCTCAGTAATGGATTTCCTGCCTGTTGTTTCTCTCTTCAGGAAACACTAGCACTATGTAGAGAATAAAAGCAATCAAAGCCTTGACAAATTGAATTTGCTAAAATGTGTGCTTATGGCATTCATGAAACAAAAATGTCAGGCAGAATAGAGATGTTTGGAGGCAATTATTTACAACCAAGGGATATGAGTGAACACAGAAGAGATCTAGTTGGGAACTGTGGAATCAAAGCTTAGAGAAAATGTTCAAAGGATACCAGCATCAGAAGAGAATAAATTAAAGCTTTGAGGATTAGCTGGAAGATCAGGACTCTGCTGGAAATCTGGGAAGAGTGGTTACTGCAGTCTTGTTTTCATCTCTCACTTTCTTGTTTTGGGCCTGGCAGCTTCATGATTTTTAATTCTTATTTTGTCTAGGTGGCTGGCTGAAAAAGGCTTGTATACGATTTCCAGTTGCCTCTTGGATAGAACTCAAATGCAATTAAACCATTGAAACACATGCTTTAGCGTAACTCCAACCTACAAGTTATCAGCTCTTCCCCTGGTGTAGCATATGGTCCTGAGCACAGTAGATTATATCAGTAGAAGACTGGAGTTCATATTGGTCCAGGAAGCATGCAGAAAACTCGTAGAAGACACCCATGATTAATAATGAATCACTTCATTCTTTTATATCTTTTGGTGTAATATACCGTCTTTTGAGGTGTAAGTCAGTCTTTGTAGTTGACACCAGACCTATATTCCCACAGTTTTATGAAGGGCAAACATGGATTTAGCCTATTTGCTTTCATTAATATTTAGCAATTCTGTAAATATAGGACTCTTCATATTGGGGATCAAGATGAAAGAATATGCCATATAAATATGTATCCCTTATATGCATATGGCATGTATAACTTTTTCTTAACTGTCTTACAAACATATTTGTTTAAACTCAGGAACTCTGCACTTTTCCACTCTTGGTTTGATGGCTTTAACCACAGAAGATGGTTCTGACACTGCTGAACGGAAAGCACAGATTTTTGCTAAAATATTTCACCTCTAGAAACTGCCCATATGGGAAGCAATTATTTGCAAAAGGTTTTCCGTTCCTTAAAGCAATATATGAAGTCAAGAGTGCTTTCAGCAGAAGTGCTGAACTAGATAAAACTCATGTTAACTATGGAATTGTTTTTTTTCCCTTTAATTTCTCTTTATAGTCCCAAATCCCAGCACTTTGGAGAACAGCATTTCAGCTCTGGTAAATCTTTGTATTTATTTGTCACTCTAGCCCTTAATGCACAAGGGAAAGAAAAAGAAAAAGAGAAAGAGGAGAGATGTCTGAAAATTATTTCTAAACTTTGTTCAAAGTTAGTCCTACTTCTTTCAAACCTTTTTGACCTACTCCACACTGTATCCTGATCCATACTTCAAAGAGTTTTAAAAATTCAAAAATTACAGCTTCTGTTTGTACATTGTCTTGAGTACCCTGTCCAATCAAGAATAACACCTGGAGCAGAGGAATGTGCTACATTAGTAAATAGTATTTATTATATTAAAATATCAGCCAGCATGGGCTGCATGGTCCTTGTAAATACACTGGAAAGTTTAGTTCCTACACCTAACAGTTTATATTTGAAGATCAAATACTTTTTATAGAGGGTCTAAAGTAAATTCTGAAATCCATATTTAGGGGGAATAAGATACTTGGTATCGCTGAAAAAAGCCAGCAGTTTATTTAAGTATTTAGATTTAAATTTAGGATCTTAATTTCAGGCACCTATTAAATAAATAAAAAACCTCAAACGAACCCCCCCCAAAAAAAGTCTGGACTACGGAAAGTGAGTGTTATGGTAACAATCTCTACTGAAAGGTGTTCGACTAAATGGACCAGGATGGCAGAAGATGGTGGTACTGGCTGCAGTGGCAAGGAGTTGCGGAATCTGAGATGCAATTTAGAGACTAGATTAGAGTTAACTTAGAATTTGTGTAAAATGAACACTGGTGTTCCTCCAGCATATCCATCCTGCTGGGGACTGGAAATACCAAGGCCAAACAGGACATGCTGATGCTGTAACTAAAGTAGTATAAGGGCCAAGGCAAGTAAGAACAGCACCAATCCAGTCTTTGGGACAATAACATATTTCCTTCAGACTGTCCCTTTGCATACTGGAGAAATGTGTACATTTCAGACCATGCATTATGATAGTTTAGGTTTATCTCTATGTCTCTGGGCCCAGCTAATATTAATGGGTTAATCTGGATCAGCTGCAGTGCAATATTTTATGTGTAATTTATAAAGTAATTTGATCTATAGGCTAAAGTAATTTATAAAATGAACTGAAAGGTGGCGTGTCCAAGTAATAACTGCTATGAAAAGCTCTCAGAAAAAAAAAAAAATTATTTTGAAGATTTGATCTTAATAAGCACAAAAACTCTGGACAATTAAAAAAAATATTTTAAGCAAAAATATTCTTTACAATAAGGAGTAAATAAGTTTAACCCCTTTTACCCTTTTTGTGAAAAATATGTGGTATATGCCCCAAAAACATGAGAAATAAAACTAAGATGGGAATCTCGATGGCTCAGTAGTGTTTTGTATAGATTTTCAAACAGATTTTTCAATAGATTTTTTTTAGTGCTATGGGTTTCTTTCTAACTACCAAGGACAATGTGCAAACTTGTCATGGTCATTTTTATAAAAACAAATACATTTGAAATTTTTTAAACAAACTTCACTTTAAAGTGAAAGTAAGTGAAACATTTTTTTATTGATAAGTTCACATCCTCCTATCAGTTATCTATGAAGAAAAATAGCACAGCAAAATGTGGTGGCACATATACTGTTCTTCACTAACAGTCAAAATAAGCAGAGCAAAAATACAGGGAAAAAAACCTATGAAAGTCAGACTTCAGAATCTAGGTAAGATCTAGAAAAATATATGTGTAGAATTTTTGAATAATTTATAATGGTCTCTATTAACTGGGATTACAGTGGCTGTCTTTAAATTACAAAAGATAATTATGGAAAATTATGTCAGCAGTGACACATTCATAGGAAAAGCTTAAAATATTAAATGGTCAGGTGGGTGAACAGGGCTTTCACTTACGCCTACTTTCATAAATAGCTCTTGATTTCTCATACAGCTCATATGGGTCAGGTTTTCGTGGATCAAAGGCCTCTGTTGAATCAGGAAATGAACTCCTGTGAAGAGTGGGTGGATAGGGAATACTCTGTGGCATAGCTGGAGCAGACAGGCTTGTTTGAGGGCTGCCTTGATTCTCCCATCGTTCCATCATCTGGAATAAAAGCATACAGAGAATAAAGATGAAGTTTTGCAAAAACTGTGACTGCTGCCATAAGACCAAGACCGTGATTTCAGTTGAAGATGTGTTTTGTAGAATTAGCAATTCCATTTGCTGCCCTTTGAGATGAAAGGTGTGTGTTGTGCTGTTTATAAAATGACTTGGCTAAATTTACTTGTTAATTTGTTCCTCATGGGAAGATGTGATCTTAGATAATATGATCTTGTGTGGATTAGAACCCAGCGCTACCCCTGAAGCATGTTCAGTGCATCTCACAGAATGTGCTGAGCTATTGGAAGTTAGTCTGCTAAAGGTGGAATCTGTAGGTCTGTGAAGATACAATGATCAGATTCATTAAAATACATATCTGTGAAGACACAATGATCAGATTCATTAAAATACATAACTGAAAGTAGAGCTTAATAAATAAGTGGCCAGACTGGGTAGCAACTGAATGATCTTAATGCTGTACCTTTTGAGAATGCATGAAAATAGCTAGCTGTCCAGGAAGAAGTAAATTACTGTAACTGTGAGTAGAATTTACAGCTCTAATTGAAGAATAAAAAAACAAAGGGAAAATTATCACAGTAGGTATTTGAGCATCTCGTGATAGTTGAATGTTCAATGATAAAATACAGAACACGGTGAGAGAAAAGTGGACATTAGTCTGATAGAGTCTTTTTAATTTCTTACTGTTTCTTTCTTATATCAAAAATTACATTGGCATCATCCAACCAAACTCCCAAGCACAGAACGAGCTTTTCAACTCTTCCAGACAATTTATAGGAGAGAAGTACACAGCAGTGTATTATCTATGCATGAAAGCCACCTCAATCCATGTTTTCTCCAAGACTGCCTTTACTGGTCTCACAAGTACATCAAGCCAGAAAGGAGATAATATGACAGACTGTGCAAAAGGATCTGTATTTTTATTTTTGCAGGAGTTGGCTACTAATTAAATTCTATTAGCAGATATATTTGAAGAGGCTATGTTAAACAAAACACAAATGTTTATCCCAGGAAATGAATATTTGGCTTTTCCTGTGACCCCTCCTGAAGGAAAGGGTGGTAAAACCTTCAGAACAGTGTGCTCTTGCACATAACTCAAGAATCAGTTAATCACACAAAAAATGACTCTTGGAAACCGAACTGTAATTAAATACCACTGACTTATAGTGTTATATCAGCAGTGCCTTATCAAAGATGATTGCAGGTTTACAGTAAGCTTGCTCTACAAATTCTATGATTATCATTTGCCTTTAGTTCCTTGGTTTCAGAAGGTGTTTGGCTCAGCAGGCAGGCTTTGCTCTCTGTTCTGATGATTAACAGCATCAGGCTTTTTCCACACCAAGTATGTGTGGGCTACAGATGATTCAGAGTCCTCCTGGTGAACATGTTGAATAACTATCACTCTGCACATCCCAGGTGATCTCACACTCTTAGCTTCATACTTCAAAATAAACAGAACATGGATATTGGCCATTTTAAGTTGTTGAGGACATACAGAGCAGTGTTATAATTCAAGCTATGCTTCTGTCAGAGTTTCAGCAGTAAGTAGGGCTAGTTCATTAGAAACAACAAAGAAAAGAATGATCTAGATATCTCAGTCAATCATAGGATGACTTTCATGCACTAGTATGCATCGGGCATGATATCTATGTTGAGAAAGGAAACTATTAGTGCTATGAAGCGCCAATGATGAAGATATGGAATACTGTATTCAATATTCACCAATGTTGTTCAAGAAAGACACATTGGTTTTGGGTCAGATACAGAAGACAGCAAGTGGGATGTGATATAAGAAGCTACTATATGTGTGGAGATGTTGTGCAATACAGTGACATGTGGAGATACCTGAGTTGTCATCGAAATAGCTTAGGTACAGGAAAGTACCCAGGGTACCTTCAGGTACCCTTTGTACCACGATAAATTTCTATCTAGAAGTGAAAGTTTCCTGATTTCTTGGACAGTGCCAGAGAAATAGAACACTTACCTCTTTCAAAATGTGAAACTGAATAATATTAAGGTATTTAAAGAAAGCTTTAAAAAGAGAAAGGAAAATATAATTATCTTCGATGAGCAAACTTTTCCCTGGAGGAAAGACAAGAAACTGGAGATCTATTGGCAAAACCCTACTGGGTCCCATATGTCTAATTCCTGCTTCCTGGTTAGCTCTAAATCTTCAAGTGTGAAGTTAAAAAACGAGCAAAACATTCTTGCTTGTAATACTGCTAATACAAATAGTTACATAAACAGATAAGCACAGGGGGAATTCTATCTCCCAAACTCATATCAATTAGTTAAATACTTACATAGTGTTTTGCAATGAAAGTTATCATAATGCTGGCTCACAGATGAAGGCACTCTTGGAAACGAGTAAGCATGGTATTGAGTGCAGGGCATCAAATCTAAGTCGGGGTAATGGTTTGGTGACATTGCTCAAGTTCATTTTGCACTAATCAAATGGTATTACATATGCTGTACATAACGTATGCACTATATGCATAGAAGCCACAGGAAATTTCTGTCAGCACAAGTTACTTGGGGTGTTGAGCACACAGAGATAGAGTGCACGCCATCCCTGAGTCTCTGCCTCAGGGAGAGGAGCTTGTCTCTTCTTCTCTTCCCGCCAGTGGCCCGTGGTCCCCTTTTTGCTTTAAAGAATGGTGGGCCATACTCCCTTGTGCAGCAGGCGAAGAGAAGGGGCAGAAGTAGTCACTCAAGCAGAAAAGAAACCTGGTTTTGGGCCATCCACAGTTTTTCTTTCCTGTTACACATGTACAGGGCCGTGCTGTGGTGTTGGGAATTCTTCAGACACTCAGTGCTTCAGGGGCATTTGGTTTCAATCTTACTTCATATCTTGGGCACTAGAAATCTATGTATGATTATTTCTCTAGTTAAAGTGGTGACAGACAGAGGAATCCACACTACCTTAACCTGGTTAATCATTTGCAAACTCTCTTGTTGAGACTACCCCAAAATAGACTATCTGTGAAAGGTTAGCCTGCATGCAGGTACAGTATTTGCACATAATGGTGTAATATTATTCTGTGAGCTCTGGTTTCTTCAGACCATTGCATCAAAAACTGCATCACTCAGGTCGTTTCTCTAGATTCTGATTATTGACAAGTGCTGCTTGAGTAGGAACTACTATACTGTTTATATAACGAAACTGTGCAATCATCAACAGCATGCTGATATTTATATATTTGATATGTATGTAAAGGGGGTGAGCACTGACAGTCGGAGGTCTTTGAACGTGGATCTTTAACAAGTAAGTTTGAAGTTCTCTATCTCATCACTTTTTACCTGAGATTAAAAGTTGAACGTCCCAGTCAGACAGGAACCTTAAACTGGTGAGAACAAGCTAGTCCTTAATAGTCAGATTTATCTTCACAAATGTCTTGCTACTTAGATGAATAAACAAACTTACACAATATTTATTCCAATGTATTACATCCACCCTCTAGCCTTTTACATCAAAAACACCACAAGCTGAAGAAATCTGATGGAGTTGCATCAGGTGATTAATTAATTGCCACTTGCACTTGACAGGCTACAAAAATTATTTTGGTATGCATTAAACATACCATGATCCAATATGAGAGGATGTGAAGTTGTCCAGATTCAACATACCCTGCTTCTCTATAAGAAATCTATAAAACCTTTAAAAAGTATTGCTATTGTTATTCCTATTGCTCTTCGAAGCCTTCAGGCAGAGTCAGGGCTCTTTTTTCCTCTACACATCTCTGATGAGAGAAAAGCACTACTTTAAGGTCTTCACTATCTAAATAAAAAAAATCAAATTAAAAAACCCCAAAACAAACAAGACAACGAATACCAGTAGCCTATGACTTTTTTTTTATGCTGTGAATGTTGTCACAACTTCAAAAAATGATACAGTATGACATCTGCAAAATAAATACAGTCATTGCTTAAAGTCTTACAGTAGGAAAGATCTTCACACCTTGGGATTTGATGTCAAAATCACCAACACAAAAATGCTGTTTAGAAAGCACCTCAGAAAGTTATCTCATCCAAGTTCTCACTTGAAATGTGACTATTTCCAGCTCTAGATCTACTAGTGCAAGAAAGAATAACAATCACTTTAAGGACGTTAAGTTCAAGCCACTTTTAAACCAGAAAAAGTGCATGCTGTTCATTTCAAAGAGATGATCAACTAGAAGGCCAAGTAGACTGGCCTCGTTGCTGGTGCCTTCTGCTGCCTTCTCCTCCAAACACCTAATTTTTGAGCCATTGTATTTCTGGTTCTTGACACCCGTCTAAACATTGAGATGTTCTTTTCTCCAGATTGCTGCTATCAGACTCCAAGTCAACAGATCTGCAGATTTTATTAGTGAGGCCACCCCTGATGCTGTCCCACCTTTATTTGGGGCACTGCTGAGAGATGTCTCATGAACTGGGAACAGCAGGCTTAGATGAAAGTCTACAGAAATTTGCTTTGAATGCTAGTAAACTTATGAACTCAATGTGTATAATTTTGAAACGGAACTTACAGGCTTTGGAGTTTTCCATGGAGAAAAGAAACCTGAAATAAACAAAAAATAACATTAGCAGATTTTTCTGATGCATCAAGAATGGAGGCTAAGTAGTGTCTATGGTCCCGTTCTCATTCAGGTCTGCAGTTAATATCAATATACATAAAAATTGTCTACACACAAGGGGTGAAAACACAAACCACGGGGGATAATTTCTAAGAAAAAATATATGCAAATATATATATATCTCCATATATATATATATATATGCAAGTGGAGCTATTGAGATCATTGCCATACTTTACAAACAGCATGGGATTAGGTTGAAATTAAAAGAACTAAACAAAAGGACTTCCAAATGTCTTGGTGGACATTGGATAAGACACCAAATGACCTGGTATTGATGTGTCAAATGCAGTCGCACCTTTAAGAAGAAGCAATTCAGAACATCCCATCAACAAAACCTAATAATACAAGAGATTTTTTTAGAAGAAAAGCCTGGAGAGAAATAATAATCTAGACTGTTTCATCAGTCTAGATAAGGTAGCCAAGTCTTGGGAGGACCGCTTGTTTTGATACTGTCCTGGTTTTTGTCATACTTAGCAAGTCGTCAGACATGACTACCTCTTCTACACAACTGGTTATCTCCTTTTCCTTGGTTATTCACTGACTGATAACTTGCTTTAGTGACTTCCATGAATTTCAACTATTGTAGATTACAAATGTTTAAAACTCCAGATATACCCTTTTCATAAAAGGAGATAATGTGAAACACTCATTGTAAACACTGTTCTTATCTTATGCAGCATAATGTTAAAAAACTTACAAAATATTAAATAAAAAGAAGGATTTCAAAGGATATTGGGTCACATTTTTTAAAACACCAGCTTTCAGCACAGTTTTGACTAAAAAACTCATTCTCAGTTTAATAGCAGGTAAAAAAAAAAAAGTCTGTGGACCTTTCTAAGTAAGATTAAAAGCTAATAACAAAGACTTCATCTGTTTTGTCAGAAACTGAAATGCTCCTTAAACTGAGACATTTAATGGGAGGGTTGTTCTCTCATTCAAAATATGAATTAAGCTGTAAGGGTAGTACTGACTTAATTATTTCTTTTTCTAAGGTGAGTCTAGAAAAAAAAATTAAAATAATGAGAACATTAGGGAAAGTATCTTTCTACAGACAAATCACAACAGGAATTATATTTGTACATAGTATTTAAGGTTCTTAGAATTCTGTGATAATGAGGTAATTTTTTTCTGCCATTTTATCTAATTCATTTAGACTGAAAAAATCTTAGACTGAAAAATCATTTTAGACTGAAAAATCTTAGACTGAAAAGTGAGAAAGCACTTGAGCTGTTTGCAGAGCAACACTGGCTGTTTTGTAATGCTCATGTATAAGCTGATAGTGCTTTTGAACAAAAATTATATTGGAAAAAGTAATCCTGGAAAAGTTTATGTTTACTGACTCTATAGTGTCTGGATAAAAACTGCTATATTAACAAGTAGACAAATTTCTTTCCATCTGCAAGTTCAAGCTGAGATAACAGGTATCCTGTATAGATCTGACTTGTACATCACTTTCAGTATTAAAGATTCTGCAGTAGATACTTATTTAATAACTTCTGGGATGGCAGATGGCTACCTTTTTATTACCTGCTGTTGTTCTGTACAGCTAATAAGAATGAAAGTTAAAAAGCAGTTTTCCCCTCGGAGCTAAAGATAAGACTTCAAACTTGCAAGGAGGTTTGCTGAAAGGTATTGCAGATCAGCTTACTATCCTGATTTGGTGTTTGGAAAATATTGGTAGAAAAAACACTCCCTCCCCATTGGTAGTGGTGCACCTCCCATAACTTATTGTCTGCAAAAATTACTCCAGGTCAAAGTGAAAGGTCATTTTTTCCAATTTATTTACTGTCTCAACCTAAAAATATGTTTTGCTGGAGTTATTAGAAAATTTTACTATCAATTAAAAATATATTAAGTATTTATAAATCAAATATATAATGACATATATATCAAGTAAAGATTTTTTCTAAAAAAACCCTCAATTAAAAGAAATTCAATTATTCACCCAAACAAGGAGAACAGACTTATATTTAGCTTGGAGGCTGTGAGTACAGACTGCAACACACAATTGACAACATCTACACTCAAAACAAATAAAAGGCAGTATTTATCCACACAGCATGAAATTATGTTAAGAAAATTAATGGATATCAGATATCATGGAAGTAGAAGATCCAAAGCAAGATTTAAAAAAAGTATTGGATATCCGTACATGTACAAAAGCATGTTAGAAGCAAAAATCTCTAAAGGTAGCAAACCTTGGAACTAATATTAAAATCCATTCTTCAGATTTAAATTCTGCTATTAGACCAAGACTTCTTGTAAGATGAGATGGTCTCTCACCTATGTTAAAGACTAGGTGCTAGACTAAATAGATGAAGGCCTGGTTCCATAAAGCAAACCCTACCTTATATCTTTCATGTATTTCATGCCAATTTTAATGATGCCTCACAGAACATCTGTATTCTCAGTTGAACTAAGCATCCTTTTTCCCAGTCTAAACAAAACTGACCTTTAGACAATATATGGCACTATCAGTTATTCAACATGAGACCGATTATGGATAATTGTTGTGAACCAAACGTGTCCAGAATTATCATTGGTATTTAAATACATGCAACCACTGCTGCAAATTCAAGAATTCAAGAGTATAGTGCATATGTAGTACATTGTAAGTGTAACAGAAATCTCAGATGAAAAAGTATGAAAGCAAAATGCTCTTTCCTGTGTATTCTGTATGTTCCCTTCTACTTTTCACCTTTAAACATTGTTCTGCCTACATACAGGACCAAATCCTCCACATGTAGAAAACTGAGGCTCGGAAACTCACCTGAAGAACGTATCTTAATAATGTGTATTTAGTGCACACTCAGCACCGTTGGCCTTCTGCAACCACATCTACAGCTGGCAATGAGAAGCAGTGGACTTTCGCTCAGTTTGACCTCACTTCACAACACCACATTTTCTCTTGGCTTTCTGGTGCTGGTTCATTAGATATTGTGAGTATTCCCCACCAGAGACAGTGGGATCCCACCTGAATTACAGCTGTCAGCAGACTGGCATCAATTCAGTACTGATTTAGAGGTAAGACTGAAATTTGTTCTCCAAAGAGTGCAGCTTTCAACTTCTGTTGAGTATTAATACAGTACTAATACTTCTGAACCTTTTAATCAACTCACATCTAACTAGGCAAACATACTGGATAAGCTCTTATAACCTCCTTATCCCACTTCTAGATTTCCACTTCTTCCTCCCCAAACTCCCAACCCCCTACTGTCCAACTTGTGATACCTTCTGTAAAAACCTGAGTAGTTGAGAATATTATATTCATATACATATAAACACTCCTCACCCCCTTATTCACATGCACTTGTAAAATCTGAAATAATAAAAGCCGACTTAGATCTACCTAAAAAATACTTCATGCAGTCTGTTCTTCCCATGAGTGGCTTTCTGCTCACCCATGTGCCTGACAGATGTCTCTTCTCATAATAGCTTCACCGCTTAAGTTGTGGCTCACTTTCTGAAGACTCCTATATCTTTCTATTAGTTTTAGATGAGTCTTTATTATTAACACTCCTTGTAAAGGTGGCAATACAACTCTGAATTAGTTTTGGAAAGGAGAGCGGGGTTACTGGCTTGTGTCAAAGAGCAACCACCACCACTCAGTCAGATGCTAGCAGGAAAATACTATGGTCACCACTGAGTGTAATGTAATGTAACGTGTAAGTATGCGAGGATAAAATATATAACCTCATATACTTCTCCAAAGTTAGTTTTGAGACTGTAATGATTTATTTTTCAATGATGGCCATCTAAATCGTAATAAGGTACAGCAGCTGATGGCCAACACCTTTACTGAAATTTTATTAGTTTCATTTTAAATAAATAAGCTGAGCTACTGTTACACCATATGCTTTTTAAAGATCACATTTTCATTTTCTCATAATGTAGTGTTAGAAAAATTATTTTTGACATTGCTTTTAAAATCATATTTACCACCTTCCAAAATGAGCTTCCCTGGAAATCAGAGCTGTGATGGTTTCTATGTTGTAACTTTACTAAAAACCACCAGTAACAGAAAACAGATTTTGAATTCAAATGTATCTGGAGGAAAAAATATCAAGACAAATCCCAGCTTCAGTTTACTGTACGTCTCCTTTTCGATGAAGATATCCTATAACAAAAGACAAATCACATCACACTCACTGTATGTATTTCTTCTTACATAATAATTTAAGTATGCTTTTGTCATAAAACATGCTTACAGATTTCATATGCCTTATACTTCAGACAGTACTTATCGTTGGAAAGTTTAGTTTTCTAAAAGCAGGTTATCAGACAGGACTTAGAGCATTTGCAAGATAGAGTCCTGATGTGGGGTTTTTTTGTTAATTGGGTTTTTTTTTTCCAGTAAAAATCCTGATTTTGGCATATTCTGTAATGTCAGTAATATAAAACCAGTCTTTGGTTGTTAATCTGCTGCCATGTGGATGCCTTTTGCTACGTTTCCATTATTCTCACTATTTTGTATTGATTTCTGGAAAAGTTCTTAAGACCTAGTAAAATCATAAGTAAATAACACCAAAAATCACAAGTAACTAACTATTGCTGAACCACAGGACCTTTAATAATGTTCACCTCTGTGGCAGATGTGTATGTATAATTAAACTGAAGCCCGGGAACAGTTTGATTTCTGCAGTGATGGCATATGGTAGTACTGCAGGGAGGAACCCAACAGCATCAAAGATAAAGTCTTTTAATCCAAAGCAATGTTCAGGGCAAGTCAACTTCCCTCCACATCACTTGTCTCACTGATGATACAGCAAGTGTTTTGCCCATTAGCTTTCACTGGGCTTCTTGGGTTTTTTTATGCTATAAAAGCCTTGTTGCATATGGCTTCCTGAGCAAAGCTGTCCCAAGCACTGCACAGACCTTTTTTACATAGATGCTTGGAAGTCAATGAACAGATGGCTGCCGA